TTACTATTGTTATCATCTAATATCATTATTATTATTCCTAAGAGCTCATATTGATAGCAGTGAAGATTTGAAAAATTATCCGCAAGGTGGTGGGTGTTTAAGTCAATCTTTCAACCGGCTTGAAACATTGAATGTTAATGAAGTACGAGCATTACAATTCTGAACGCTGTAATAAGTCAAATCCCAGTAGTTAATTCTCATGCAATGATCAATAAGACCCTTCAACTATACTGAATCACCCTTCAACTAAATCAAAAGATATTCAAGATTCCACGATGATCCCACCTTGCAGATGTACTTCTTTCTGTTGACATTCGGCCATTTCAGCAGTAAACATAGCTCTAAAATATGGTATTGTTGCTGCTAAAACAACGCGATGTGCACTGAATCTAAAAAGAAATTAATCATTACTGATGATTTATTAATACGAACCGCACTTGTTTGGAATCTTCATTCATTATCGCAAATTAAATGTATTATCATACATTTACTGACATTCTCTTGACAGTCTGACGGTTCGCTTATTGACTGTGAGCATAATTATTTATTAGTGTATCTGACCAATTACTATTATCCCTCCATTTGGCCACTCAACGGATTGCGAGAATATACGAATGATAAAGGAATTCAACTAATGAAAGAGGTCATAACCTTAGACCATCGGCAACAAGCACCACGTCGCATAATTTACCAGTTCGACGTATCTCATCGAAATTCGGGAACGCACTCATCGCTAACGATGCGGCACATTCGAACACAACCACTTCCTCATCGTCCTCGTCACACATCGTCAACAACGCTAATATTATTCACACGATATCACAACTATTTTCCGATTGATTCATTATTACANTAAAAACAGGTTGCAGACTGTAGATGGATAATGAATAGATGCATATACCTTTACGCTAAATAGCAAAAATTTCCTATAGTCCAGGAGATGAAAATTCAGACCACAACCCTTACTTACCCTGCATTTATAACGAATTCAATTCCTCGCATACTTTTGCAGCAAAACCAATCCCCACATCTCCTTTACTAAATATTTGGTGGTGGAATTCCTCTAATCTAAGCAGGTTGGACACAGACAGCACTTATAATCGATGTTATCACAGGAATGACTTTCAAGTACTGAATGATGAGATGAAACGAAGGGAAAATCAGAGGATGTGACAATGAGAATGAAACTAACAAATATAACGTTTCGCATCTTCGCTGACCATCTTGCCGAGGGAATGATAACTGGATTGCACTCAAGATAAAATACTGCTGAATGTTGAACTGAGTTGAACCAAATTAGTATGACCTTTCATGCACCAAGATTACTGTCCATACAGTGTCTTCACCACTCGTGTTACGCATCCAATTTATGCGGCGAACAAGTTCAACTTTAAACTGGTGAATAAATAAAATGCAATCGCCAGAGTTGTTTATTTGATGGATCAACAATTCATCCAGTCACATCCAATTGATCTATCTACCGATGTTATAAGGCAATATGCCGAAGTTTGAGAGAATGATTTGAACTGATCGTGCAGCTGGACACTGACAACTGTGTTGATAACCAACAGATGTTTCGTTATGTTTGTCAGNGAATGATTTGAACTGATCGTGCAGCTGGACACTGACAACTGTGTTGATAACCAACAGATGTTTCGTTATGTTTGTCAGCTGTCAATCCTACCAAGTCCTGAAGTACATAATGAACTGATCTAGTTGCTTTGCAAAAATCTCTTCGAATAAATGAAATGTCATTTTCATTCATTATTTCATGCGTTAAATATACGAACATGGCACAATTACACTGAAACCGGACAAATGAAACCTATTTGAAACCCGCACTGTAAAATCACCCCGCATGAAATTTCTGTTTGCACAACTTTACAAAATCAACTTTGCAAAATAATTTGTTTGCGTTCGATAAATTCCTCGTTTCGGTGCAATTGGAGCGAACTGCCAACGTGCTCAGTCAGAGTGCTACACTCTTCTTCGAAGTAAATGTTATATTACATGAAAGAAGTGGATAGATAGATAGCAGTATTGAGTGATGATTTAGGTGTTAGTGATGTACAGGTTGAGCGCAGAGATAGGTTAATGCGAGAATTTAGTTGAGAAGACTCACTAATGTTAGCATAACAGCTGATGTATTGACACAAGCCACCATTCATTACGGCCATACCTCATCAATGACTATTCATAAACTTTATAATCCTCTGATCTGAACTGATAGCTATCTTATCAAATCCTCCACTTCCTTATCATTCGTCTGAATCCATCAGTGAAAGCGCACTAAATTGATAAATGATGCGTTTATTCGAGACACATTCAAGTCTACGTAATTATCGTTTATGCAAGATCGGATTCCATAAACAACACTTATTTATTTGTCCGCATCGTGACGACTGCATTGAAATATGGTCGTTGCATTCGTTCATACCGAACTCATGGAGAATGCTCACGCACTATCCTTTAATTGAATTGCTTTATGCAGCCTATACGATCAGCCATACGCAGCCGTT